ATAAACGACCATGGTGATTTGTTTCATAAATGAAGGATGTGGCGCCCTCTGGTGGATAGTTTCTGCAACTTGTAGCTGTTCAGTGACGTCATCGGCGCGCCGGAAGTGGCTTCAAACAGAAGACGATTCGGGCTGATTCATTGTAGCTTTCTGARCGCAGAAACACACATCTTCCAAACTCAGAGACAGATTTGACAGCGGGTGAGTAGAGTTTCTGTTTTAAGACAACCAGAAGCTCTTATTAAATTTAGTTTGATGAAATTAGAAAATAAATAAATATACTTTTATTATGTCTTTGTACAGACTGAGCAAGCTAAGTTAGCATTAGCATGCTAGCTATGTAGTTGTGGTGACAGCACAAACCGAGCCATTTTAAGATGATAAAAAAATCACTTTTGGGGATGTTATAATAACTTAACTTATAAACTGAATCGTGTTTATAATCTGCTTGGTGTTTACTGATGTTTTTACCTTTCGTGTTTGTGATAAAATGAGCTGTGGTTAGCTAGCGAAGATGAGTGCTGTGTTTTGAGACAAAACAGACCTGAACTATCAGACTTSAGCTAACATGTGAACCTTTAAATTAAAATAAAACTAAAAGCAGATGTGTCTACTCATCAGTTGAACCGTTTATTAAACATCACAACATGACTGTATGATTCTAAACCTGTTTAATAATGAATCTGTTTGTAGATTTAAATATGGACCGACTCTTGAGGCTCGGGGGTGGAATGCCGGGGCTGGGACAGGTAAATAAATGTCCAGACAATGACGTCATCAGAGTGTAACTTATAGCCGGAACAGATCATTTGCTGATGAGGTCTTTGACCCTGCAGGGACCCCCCACAGATGCACCRGCCGTGGACACAGCAGAGCAGGTCTACATCTCCTCCCTGGCCCTGCTGAAGGTAAACCACCATCAGGAGGGGCTGGTTTTGGATCGGCAGGTGTTTTGAGTTCTCGTGTTTGTTGCGCTCCTCCTCAGATGCTGAAGCACGGCCGAGCCGGCGTGCCGATGGAGGTCATGGGGCTGATGCTGGGCGAGTTCGTGGACGACTACACGGTGCGGGTGATCGACGTGTTCGCCATGCCTCAGTCTGGAACGGTTCGTACCAAACGCCTCGGTTCGACCTGAGCAGGAAAATACTGGAGCTGAGTTTATAAAACACCCAATTCACAATTACTGGACGAAAACATTCACAGACGTTTTATTATTAACTTTATTAGTTCACATAAAAAATACAAGAAAATAAAATGAAAGGTAGCAGAAGAAGAAAAAATCATGTCTGCCCCTATTTTCAAAAAAAATTATTAATTTCTGACAATAATCAAATAATTAAACTCCTCAAAC